CACAAAAATACATAGATAGTACAGACATAAATCTCTAAGAACAATACATTCTGGACACCATGAACTGAACACACAATACATACATAAACATAACAGTTAGACAGACAAATATTAGCCAGACAATCTAACAAACTCATTACGAAAACACTTACTCTAACACAGACATTACATATTAATACATGACCTAATATTGCCGAAGTGTAGACATTAACACCTAATTCGCACTTAAATCGGTAGGTGGCTCAGAGTCTGAATAATCCGAAAGCTCAGCGTCAGAGACAAGCTCAGGATCCTCCATGATACCCTTGATAGCCGCATCATTTGGTTCTGTTCTGTTCTACTGGGCATCCTTCTTAACTATGTATAGCTACATATCGCGGGCTAACCTACGGCGCATTTGAGAAATCTTACGTTGTAGTCTTTCACATAGTCGATCAACATTATCAGGATCTTTCTTTTGGATCTCAACAGAACGTGCTTTTGGCACCTTCAATCGATTTTCCCGACATAATCTTTCCATTTGCACTCGCTCTATAAATGGTGCGGGCCACTTCAGAAGTCTAGCGTTTGCTAAACCATATCCTGTTTGATTATCTGATGGTTCCTCCACCAAACCACATGGATCTCGATAGTACTTGGGCATGACAAAATGTCGCTTCCCAAACCTATCATGATAAGCACAAGAGGCATCTAACAAAGTAAATGGTGTTTCATCTTCAGTATTGTCACTTCCCCTTCCCCCTCCTCGTCGTGAACTGTCACCCCTTTGCAAGTTCCTACCACCTCTGCGATTCCCACTCCCTCCCATGAACCATGTAGCCATGCTAATTTTTTAAAACAAACGAATGATAATTTTGTAGGGCGAAATGAGTTGTAAGGTTGTGTCTTCACCTTTAGTCGTTTATATAGTTGGTTATGAACAGCTTTAGAAAGTTGCCATGTGACTTTATGAATTGAAAATTCCACATATATCAATAAGAGATGAGTTGTCACTGTAATAAAAAAATCGAGCAAACAATCGAGAAAACCAAAGCCTGTGCACCAAGTCACATGACTTGACAGTCCATCTGCATATACCGACAAAATAAGGGCATGCTCACTGTAAGGTAAATCAGTGAATTCATTGTTGCCATGTGACTTTATGAATTGAAAATTCCACATATATCAATAAGAGATGAGTTGTCACTGTAATAAAAAAATCGAGCAAACAATCGAGAAAACCAAAGCCTGTGCACCAAGTCACATGACTTGACAGTCCATCTGCATATACCGACAAAATAAGGGCATGCTCACTGTAAGGTAAATCAGTGAATTCATTGTTGCCATGTGACTTTATGAATTGAGAATCCCACATATATCAATAAGAGATGAGTTGTCACTGTATTAAAAAAATCGAGCAAAAAATCGAGAAAACCAAAGCCTGTGCACCAAGTCACATGACTTGGCAATCCATCTGCATATACCGAGAAAATAAGGGCATGCTCACTGTAAGGTAAATCAGTGAATTCACTGTTATTATGTGATTTTATGAACTGAGAATCCCATATATATCAAATTGGTGTTGAGTTGTCACTGTAATAAAAAAATCGAGCAAAAAATCGAGAAAACCAAAGCCTATGCACCAATCACATGACTTGACAATCCATCTGCATATACCGAGAAAATAAGGGCATGCTCACTGTAAGGTAAATCAGTGAATTCACTGTTGCCATGTGACTTTCTGAATTGAGAATCCCACATATATTAATAAGAAAGGGGTTGTCACTGTAATAAAAGAATCGAGCAAAAAATTGAGAAAACCAAAGCATGTGCACCAAGTCACATGACTTGACAATCCATCTACATATATGGACAAAATAATGGCATGCTCACTGTAAAGTAAATCAGTGAATTCACTGTTGCCATGTAACTTTCTGAATTGAGACTGTAATAGAAAATGAAGCTTATGTAGGCAATGTTGTGTTTCACTTAGCTATGCATCATTTGTTGTTACGACCAAACGTTCATGTATTTCATTGAAAAGTATGATTATTTGAATTATTTGTTGTCATTTGGGTACAAGTCAAGTTTCTTACATTTTTGGCCTTGCGTTGATTGCTATTCTATTCTAAGAGAATCGTCAATTTCTTGAAAAAGGCGCAGAAAACAATCTGTTTGTGTATAATTAATTGTACATAGTGATTTTCACAAGCAAATCAAGTAAAACCAATGGGTTTTAAATTTAGTTCCCCAACTGGACCAACCACTTGGCTTTGAGCTTGTTTGTCCAACCCCCTAAGTTTAGTTATATGTCAACCCCTCATTCCTTACCAGAGTCATCATTTTGACTGGACTTCCAAGAATTGGAAGGCGACTCTTTCTTTTTTTCTAATGGAGATTGAAATTCTTTACGTACAAGATCCCTATTTCACGAGCCCCAGTTAAGGAAAGCTTTTCACCGAGCTACATGTTCTGTTTTATGTGTTGTTTAAGGCGGTCGTTCGTTTGTATGAACTTTATTAGTCCTCTAACTGGACCAACCACTTGGCTTTGAGCGTGTTTGTCCAGCCCCCCAAGTTTAGTTATCTGTCAACCCCCCATTCCTTAACAGAGTCATCATTTTGACTGGACTTCCAAGAATTGGAAGGCGACTCTTTCTTCTTTCCTGATGGAGATTGAAATTCTTTACGTACAGGATCCCTATTTCACGAGCCCCAGTTAAAGGAAGCTTTTCACCAAGCTACCTGTTCTGTTTTATGTGTTGTTCAAGGCGGTAGTTCGTTTGTATGAACTTTATTTAGTCCCCCAACTGGACCAACCACTTGGCTTTGAGCTTGTTTGTCCAGCCCCCCAAGTTTAGTTATCTGTCAACCCCCCATTCCTTAACAAAGTCATCATTTTGACTGGACTTCTAGGAATTGGAAGGCGACTCTTTCTTCTTTCTTGATGGAGATTGAAATTCTTTACGTACAGAATCCTTATTTCACGAGTCCCCAGTTAAGGGAAGCTTTTCACCGAGCTACCTGTTCTGTTTTATGTGTTTTAAGTATTCACATAATTCAACATACATTAATCCATTCATTAATCTAGAATATTCATTAACTCATTGCAATTCAATAAAGAAAGTCATGAACTAATAAATGTGCAGTTATAAATGTAATTATTTCATAAACTTCAGGTTCATAAAACTAATACTTGAAATACATCTGTACGTTAGATGAACAACAACATCCCTAATCCTAATTTAAGATTTAAGATTTCACATTCAACAAATTTCTAAACAGATTTCACAAATATAAACCCTAACCCTAATTTATTATTTTTGATTTCACAACATTTTCACATTCATGAACCCTATTCTACCAACATTATACCCACATTCATGAACCCTAACCCTAATTTATTCACATTTTCACAAACACAAAAAATGCATTAAAGTAGATGACAGAAGCCATACCAACGAGAGAGAGGTACCGACAGTACTGAGAAGCAGAGGGAGCTCAAGCACAAAGACAGAGAAAGAGCAGTAAGAGCGAGAGAGAGAGAGAGAGAGAGAGAGAGAGTAGTAAGAGCGAGAGAGAGACAGCAGGGAGCAAGAGAGTGAAACTATAACAAGCGTGAATGCAAAACACGAGGCTGGGGAGATTATATATAAGTTTTAAAAACGTGGTTGTGAACCACGATTTCACTTAATGAAAAAAATTTTTGCCAAAAAACGTGGTTCAGAACAGCGATTTCAGAAGAAATTTTTTTTTGTAAAAGCGTGGTTCAAAACAGCGATTTCAGACGAAAAAATTTGTTGGATAAAAGCGTGGTTCAGAACAGCGATTTCAGAAGAAATTTTTTTTTGATAAAAACATAGTTCAAAACAGCGATTTCAAAATAAAAAAAATTAATTAAAAGCGCCTTTTGTAACCGCTGTTTCTTAATCGAAAGCGTATTTTGTAACCACACTTTTAAGACTTTCCAATTTTCACGCGAGACAGGCACACACACGTTGAAAGCGTGGTTGTAAACCACGTTTTAACCTATTTTGAGAATTCTTTCAAAATTAAATTTAGTTTAGGAATTAAATTAATATTTTGACTTATTTAGAAAAATGCCCAAAAAATGTCTTCTTCCAACATCATTCGTCCAACTATTAAAATATCTTTTCTTTTGAGCTGACATATTAAAATATCTTCAAAAATGACAAAAATATGTCCACAAGTAATGATAATATGCAAGGTACATAAAATTGCAAGGTGAAAGTCAAAAAAATATATATTAATTTAGCACTTTTCAAATAATTTCTTAGTCTCATTTGTAATCCTAAATTGTATGCAAAAGTCCTTATTTAGAAAGGGAGTTGAGTTAAAATAACTCAATAAAAGATAAAATAGGTTAAAATAGTCAATAAAATAAAATATTTCATCTAACCTATAATCATTTAATTTTTTTTTCTGACAACCATCAAATCAACTATAAAAAAAGTCAACTTCCTTTCAAAACATAATTTTTTTAACCAAATTAAAATAATTAAAAAACTAAATAACTAACTAAAATAACCAACTTTTCAATGCAAAAGTGTTGTCTTCCAACAGCATTGGTCGAAATATTAAAATCTCCTTTTCTTTTCAACTGAAATATTAAAATATCTTAAAAAATGATAAAAATATACCTAAAAGCAATGATAATATGTAAGGTGCGTATCATATATATTTACGTAAATTCTTATAAATATGTATTAATATCTCACAAAATCACACAAATTTTTACAAATATACGTAAATTATGATTTTTTAAATTTTTATAAATTAACTTATATATATTTATAATAACTTATATAATTTTATAAAATAATTTATATATATATATTTATGACAACTACGTATCCATATCCACTTGCACACGTAACGATACGTATCCATATCCACTTGCACACGTAACGATAAATAGTTAGCTTGTTGCCTTGATAAATAGTTGGTATTTATGACAACGCTTGAACACGTAACGATAAATACTTTGTTGGGTTGATAAATAGTTGGTATTTGGAGATAAGAGAGAGAGAGAGAGAGAGAGAGAGAGTGTGTCAGCAGAAAACACAACAATGGCTTCTTTGATCAACAATCCCTTGAGGCCTCTCTACAAGTCCAAGTTCATTTCCAATTCCAATTCCAATTCCGAGCTGTGCCCAGAAACTCGGTTTTCGAATCGGTGTGGTGTTGGGTTCAGTTCTCTGAGTCTCGACAATTCCGGGAGAGTTTGTTTTCCCATTGTCTGCAAAGCTGTGTCTGTGACGCCCCAAACTCAGATTGAAGGCCTTAATATTGCCGAAGATGTTACTCAGGTCTCACACTCTTTACTCTTTTTCACTCTAGTTCACTACACAATAATTTTATTGTTGGTACTTGTTATTTCTTCAAATTTTGATTGTGAATTGGTTAGTTTTCAATTAAACTGACTTGTCTTACTGAAGATTTGATGGAAGTTACACAAGGTGGCTTCATTTTTTCAATTTCAATCATGAAATTTGATCATGAGTTAGCTATGCTTAGAACGGTTTTAGTAGTGTTGGCATGCTAGTCAAGTGAAGAAATCCGTTTGGATCGTAAGGTGAGAAAAGAAAAGAAATGAAATGATTGTGGTATAATGAGAAAATAAAAGAAATGATTGCGTTTTCTGACCATTATGTTTGGATGAGTAAGAAAGCAAAGTATGTAACAGAGGCATATTTCTTTGTATTTAAAGGAAAAACTTGATATTATAAATATTTTATAACCAATCAACTTGTTTCTCATCAAATCTCACAATTTTGGTAAGAAATGAAATAGGCTTGGTAATAGAGTTCTCTTTCTCTCCATTTCTCACTCAACTTGCAAACCAAATATGAGAAAATTTCTCATCATTTCGTATCGTTTCTCACCTAATCTCTCTATCCAGATGGTGTTGTCGAGAATAATCATTGTAAATTGGGCAGTGGTTATTATTTTTATCATTTGAATTTGAATTGGCTTCCAATGGGGATAGATAAAAGGCTAGTTATTTCTACAATTTAGCAATAGATAGTGTTAAAATATTTTATTTTGGCAATGTTACTATGGAACAATGCAAAAATTTCACTTTTTGTCACAAAATGTCAAATTAAAATGCTATATGTAGATCCCTAGAGGAAAGATGTAGACATAAAAATTTTACCTATAGGTAAACCTTGAGCTATATTTGACCCAAATGTTTATTTATAGGTAATATATAACAAGACATATACCTTACCATTCGAGCAAAAATTCTAAAGTTTCAAGGCAGAATATAGCAATATCAAGTCATGTAACTCACCATTGGAGATGCTCTCATTGTTTAGAAAAAGAAAATTTGTTGCATGTTTATGATTCTGAATTTTTTTTGGGTATTTTGTTAATTTTGCTAAGGTCAATTCTTAATGTAATGATGGAAAAATATATGGTCAAGCAATTGGTAGGTGAAGCTGTAGACTTGAATTGGAATTCTTGCTACTGTGACATAGTTTGATAGAAACCATAGAAGTATATTCTGATGTGTAAGTGTGACAAATGTGAAAATTTTGTCCACCCCTGTTTAGTTGTTTTTAGTGACGACGCCAAGAATTTTTGTGAGTGGTGACACTCAAAAATTTGAATTATGCAAATTCTATAGAAAATTTACATTGATCAATATTTACCAAACTAATTTAAACTTCTCAAAAGTGGTGATCATTGGTTCAATGGTTAAGACTTGGCCTAATAACCTTGAGGTTATGGATTCAAATCTTGGGATCATCACTTTATGTATTATGTAAGGGTGGTTGTTGTTGTTGTTGTTTTATTTATTTATTTAATTTGAACTTCTCAAATCATGATTAAAATCATATTGTAATATAGTCGTACTATTATTAATGTTAACAACAATACATGCATTTTTACAATTGACCTCTTCCATATACATGATCATTTCACATGCAGTAAAAAAATCCATCTAGCTCATAAGTATAAATCAAATGAATAGAGCGGATATCAATAATAATAGGATTTATTACACTTTATACTCCTCAACTATCATCAAACTATCTATTTAGTCCCCTAAACTATTGATTGAGTCTATTAAGTCCTTAAAGTATATAGATTAGAGTTTATTTAGTCCCTAAACTATCGATTGAATGTATTAAGTCCCTAAAATATTTAAATCAAACCTATTTAGTCCCTGAAAGGATTACAAAAATAAAATATAAGCCCATAAGGGCTATTTTTGGAAGATGATTATAATCAGCTTTTTGATTAAAAGCTGCTTGTAAGCAGCTTTTTTGTGAGAGAGCTTATAATATGGGAAGTGGATTATAACCCACTTCCCAAGAGAGGAAGGGCTATTTTTCTATTATTATTTGTAGCGAAATGTTATTATTTAAATTATCTAATTGTTCTTCTTCAGTATATCTAATATTCATACTATTTAATTAGCAAAACTAAGAACTCAAACTCTAAAAGTTAATAACATAATGAAATAAAACACGTTTTAAAGACAAAATAAAATTTTAAGATTTTTTGTAATAAAAATTTAATTAGGTAGGGGCTATTACTAATTTATAATACTTACAAGCATATATTTTAATTTTGTAATCTTTTCAGGGATTAAATAGGTTTGAATTAAATATTTTAAGGACTTAATAGATTCAATCGATAGTTTAAGGACTAAATATAATTTCATTCATATACTTTAGGAACTTAATAGACTCAATCGATAATTTAAGGACTAAATAAACTTTGATTCATATATTTTAGGGACTAAATAGACTGAAAGTGTAATAAACCCATAAACAAAATGAAAAAATAAGCCTTAATATATCTTTGTTGTTGCTGATCAAAAAATAAATAAATAAACAAATAAAGGGAAGGGATTTTGAATTTGTTTACTTGCCTTTGTAAAATTCTTTTGAAGAGATTTTCTTCCTTCTATTTGCATGTAAGAAGATCACCCCTTGAACATATTATGTTATATTTATTCTCAGATAACAAATCACAACTATGCTCAGCTCCATGATGAGTCCATTTAAAGAGAAAATTTGCTTGCATTTTTTACCGTAAAAGTGAATCTATGCAAAAGAGAGAGAATGAATTATAGATATTTTTTTATTTTTTATAAATGGCAGGCTTAGTTCCCGTCAATTCTCAAATTTTCCATGAAAGAACCTAACCAAGAAAGAAAAGGGCAGGAAGTCAAATTATTTGAAAGGTTTTTGCTACTAAGGGCTGAAATTTAAATTTCGGGTGAACAAATCTAACCATTAAATTTTAAAATGGAACTATCTTAGATGTTCTAATAAACTATAGGCATGAGAGTTTGAAAAGCAATTTTGAAATGTAGTGTAGATAAATGGGGTTCAAACACATTTTTCCATTGGTGAAAACTTTATTTTTTAAATATAAAATTTAGGAAAAATTATGCAAATAGTCCCTGTAGTTTACACGATGTGTCAATTTGGTCCATGTAGTTTCAATTTGCTCAATTTTGTCCCTTAATTTAACGGATTGTGTCGTTTTAATCCAATAAATAACGGTTGTTAAGTTAATTTAACGGAAAGTCAAACAATGTGTTAATTTGGTCCCGGTATTTTTCACAATGTGTCAATTTAGTCCGTGTCAAAATCGAGAAAATTGAAATTATAGGGACTAAATTGACACATTGTTTGATCTTCTGTTAAATTAACTTAACAACCGTTATTTATTGGACTAAAATGACACAATCCGTTAAATTAAAGGAAAAAATTGAGCAAATTGAAACTATAAGGACTAAATTGACACATCGTATAAACTATAGAGACTATTTATATAATTTACCCTTTCTAAGTTTATATGTATTCAAGAATTTTGTTAAAGTCAAACTTTTGTTCAGAATAACTCATGGGAAATATGATGTGTATTCATAGTGCAAAATATCATTGCTAATGCGCTAATATTAAAGTTTTCCATTTTAGGATATGAAATGTTGCTTTTTCAATGATCTTACAAACTGTTTTCAGTAAAAAGTTCAGTGTTGGTCAAGGTCAACTTGGACTGGGATTGTGTATATTAAATGGATAAAAACTATCATAGTGTCTATATTTATTTTTCCATCATTGGTTGCTTGGTGACAGCTTATTGGGAAAACTCCGATGGTGTATTTGAATAACATTGTAAAGGGGTCTGTTGCAAACATAGCTGCTAAACTTGAGATCATGGAGCCATGTTGCAGTGTCAAGGACAGGTAAGACATTTCCAGCCATATGTGAAAGTCAAAAAACTAAAAGCTCGTGTACATATCTTGCTTGTTTCTTTTTGCAATCAGATGATTTTGGGCTCTATTTTGGAATTTGCTATATACCACCCAAGTTTTTGTATTTGATGGATCATTATTATCTTATGTTAGCTGTGGAGAAGTGGTTTTGGAAATACTCTTCTGATCCTAGGAGACGCTAGTGATCCTCTTCTAGTCACCTGAAAAGGGATAAACACTCTGGTTGGGGGTGCCGGAATTAGCACTCCGACGGACAAGTTAGTCTTTACACTCGAGTTTACCTGTATTCTAAATTAAGTACAATAGTTCTCACATACCTCTTACTGGCTGATATTCTTCTATTTATATCCTCTCTCTCTTGGGCCTCGGGATTAGGCCCGCTTTCTGTTCGTCATTCGGCTTCTTTTGTAGCAAATTGCCTTTTTACTCGGCCTTTTCCTTATTCGGCTATTTGACAATAGGGTAGGATTTGGATGTGGGATGAAGCCGAATACTATACATACATTCTAGTTCTCCAAGTTTATATACTCGGCCTATTTACGACCCCCATTATTCGGCCTCCACATTAGCTAATGGTTCTTGCACCAGTGTAAATTAGCCATACATTGGATTGTAGTAATTTAAATCTTACCTATGAAAAATGTTATGAACTCATATAATATATTATCAAACTGAGCATGAAAATCATAATGGTCTTGGTAAAGTATATAATTATAGAATAAGTAATGCTATACAAACATAACTTTATATGGAATGATGTGGCATTTTGTTGTCCTTTCATTACAAATTAAAATATCCTCCATTATGCTCATAATTTAAAAAATACCACTACCACAACAAACTTTTGTTCAGAATAACTCATGGGAAATATGATGTGTATTCATAGTGCAAAATATCATTGCTAATGCGCTAATATTAAAGTTTTCCCATTTTAGGATTTGAAATGTTGCTTTTTCAATGATCTTACAAACTGTTTTCAGTAATAAGTTTAGTGTTGGTCAAGGTCAACTTGGACTGGGATTATGTATATTAAATGGATAAAAACTATCATAGTGTCTATATTTATTTTTCCATCATTGGTTGCTTGGTGACAGCTTATTGGAAAAACTCCGATGGTGTATTTGAATAATATTGTAAAGGGATCTGTTGCAAACATAGCTGCTAAACTTGAGATCATGGAGCCATGTTGCAGTGTCAAGGACAGGTAAGACATTTCCAGCCATATGTGCAAGTCAAAAAACTAAAAGCTTGTGTACATATCTTGCATGTTTCTTTTTGCAATCAGATGATTTTGGGCCCTATTTTGGAATTTGCTATATATACCACCTAAGTTTTTGTATTTGATGGATCATTATTATCTTATGTTAGCTAATGGTTCTTGCACCAGTGTAAATTAGCCATACATTGGATTGTAGTAATAATTTAAAACTTACCTATGAAAAAGGTTATGAACCCATATAGTATATATATATTATCAAACTGAGTATGAAAATCATAATGGTCTTGGTAAAGTATATAATTATAGAATAAGTAATGCTATACAAACATAACTTTGTATGGAATGATGTGGCATTTTGTTGTCCTTTCATTACAAATTAAAATATCCTCCATTATGCTCATAATTTAAAAAATACCACTACCACAATATTATGGATTGATATTTTGGACAAAAATTATGTTTCTGTACCATTTTCCTTATAGAACGGCACATGTTTCTGGTTGTTATGTGGTTGCTTACGTGTTTTATGGAACATTCGCTCCTTATTCAATTGTTTTTGAATAATGATGCTATCATGCTGCTAGTAAGGTGTAAGCTTTCTGAATGATTTCAATATATTGAATTGTTGCTAATACAAAGATTACAACCGATATATATAGCAATCCCAAACCTAATTTGAAATAGGAAATAATAACCTTATACAATCAATCCAAAATATACAATCAACCTAATTGATATATTTCCATAATTACAATAACATTCTCACACCCCGTTCAAACTCAAGGTGTTTTAGAAGAAAATACTGAGAGTTTTCCAAGAAGAAACTGAAAGCGAGCAGTAGTATGAGTCTTCGTAAAGAAATCAGCAAGTTGTAATGCCGAAGAGACGAAAGGAAGCGAGATGGGGCCAGACTGTAGATGCTGACGTACAAAATAACAATCAATCTCAATGTGCTTCGTCTGCTCATAAAAGACAGTGTTATGTGCAATCTGAATAGCACTACAGTTGTCACAGTAAAGGGAGGTCAGAGAAAATTGAGAGACACCCAAATCAGTTAAGAGACAACAAAGCCAAACAATCTCAGTAGTGGCATAAGTCCTAGCACGGTACTCAGTCTCGGTAATGGAACGCGCAACAACAATATGTTTCTTGCTCTTTCAACAAGGAATCACCAAGAAATATGCAGAAGCCAGAAGTAGACTTGCGATCAGTGACATCACCAACCCAATTAAAATTAGCGTAAGCCACCACATCCAAAGAGAAAGTAGAAGATAACAGTAAACCCTGAAATATAGTACCCCGGAGATAGCGAAGAATCCGAACCAAAGTAGCCCAATGTGTAGAACGAGGAGCAGAAACGAACTGATTAACCACATGAATAGCATAGTCAAGATTATAGCGAGTAAGATAAACTAAGCAACCCACGAGCTCTCAATATAAAGTAATATCATCTGGAAGAACACCATCAGTAGTAGTGAGCTTCACATTAAGCTCAATGGGTGTATTAGAAATCTCAGTGTCAGTAAGATCGGCACGATGAATAACCTCATTGGCATACTTAGCCTGAGATAGAAAGTAGCCCTTGGGAGAAGAAGCAACATCAATACTAAAAAAATACCGCAAGGGGCCCAGATCCTCATTTCAAAGGTGCGGAAAAGATGTTGTTTGACCTCAGAGATAGCAAAAGAGTCAGAGCTAGTGATGATCATATCATCCACATACAGTAATAAGGCAACAAATCCAACAGAGGTGTGGAGAAGAAATAAAGTAGAGTCATGAGCACAAGGATGAAACCCAAGCGCAGTAACAACAGTCTAAAGGCAATCATTCCAAGCACGAGGAGACTGCTTCAGACCAAACAGAGCACGCCGAAGGCGACAAACCTGTCCAGAGAAATGGTGAAGGCCAGGGGGAGGACGCATGTAAACCTCCTCTATGAGATGGCTATTAAGAAAAGCATTTTTATCTTCAATCTGATAAAGAGGCCAAAAAGGAACAGCAGTGACGAAGATCAAAGTACAAACAGTAGTCATCTTGGCAACAAAGATCAAAGTACAGACAGTAGTCATCTGGGCAACAAGAGCAAAGGTCTCCTCATAATCAATACCATACTCCTGTGAAAAACCCTTGGCAACTAGGCGAGCTTTGTATCGCTTGAGAGAACCATCAGAATGAGTCTTGACTTTATAGACTCATTTGCAATTAACTAGATTCTTGCCAGCAGACAACGAGACCAATGCCCAAGTGTTAGTCTTCAACAAGGCAAACAACTTATCCTCCATAGCTCGAACCTAATTGGGATCCTGAAAGGCCTCCTTGTAAGACTGAGGTTCTGAAAAAGAATGAATAGCGGACAAAAAAGTACGATAGGAAGCAGAAAAACATGTATTAAACCAACCCAACATGTTTGGAGGATGACACACCTGAGTAGGATATCGGTGTGCAGCAGTATCAGAGTCGTCAGAAGCAGAAGGATCAACAATATGGGCAGATACAACTAGTGGAGAGAGAGCTTGGCGACGAGAATAAATTAACAGCGGAGGAGGAGGAGAAGAAGCAGGCTGGGGAGAAGGAGGAGAAAAAGGAACAAGTTCAGGGAGAACAGTAGAGATGTACTCATTAGGAGGGACCTCAAAAGGAAATGGATCCATATGAACCCAATCCGCCTTGAAAACTGAAGCAGTGATAGGAGGAAGCTAAAAATAAGGCAAACGTTTGAGAAAAGAAATATGACGGGAGGCATAAAGACGACAGGAAACAGGATCATAACACCGATAGCCTTTCTAAGTAGGACTATAACCCAAAAAGACACAGAGGACAGACCGGGTACTAAGTTTGGTTCGATCTTTGTGGGGAAGAAGGACAAAACAGGCAGATCCAAACACACGAAGGAGGGAGCAATTAGAAATTTAAGAGAACAAAGCCTCATAAGGAAACTGACTAGAAAGAAACGGAGTAGGCATGCAATTGAGAAGAAAAGTAGTAGTAAGAACTGCCTCTCCCTAAAACGGAGCCGGAATTGAGACAGAGAGAAGAAGAGACCTAGCTATCTCAAGGAGATAACGGTGTTTACATTCGGCTCGACCATTTTGGACTGGTATATCTGTACAGGAAGTTTGGTGAATGGTACCCAAATTGGCCAAATACTCACAGAACTCATTTTTTAAATATTTCCCACCCAAGTCAGACTATAACACTTTAATTGTAGACTCAAACTAAGTAGTAATCATAGATTGAAAGGTACAATATATCTAATAGAAGTCGGACTTATGAGTCATAAGATAAATCCAAGTATAACGAGTGCAGTCGTCAACAAATGACACATAGTATGCAGAACCCCCTTTGGTGAGAACAGGAGAAGGGCACCAAACATCAGTATAAACTAAAGAAAACTGTGTATCAGATATAGAAGTACTTTTACGAAAAGGTAATGTTGTCATTTTGACAAGTTTACACCCCCCGACATTCAGTTAGTTCACTAGGAGAAACTTTACCAATATACCTAATTGAGCTAAAGATTGTAAGCGGTCAGCAGACAAATGTTCTAATCTAGAATGCCACAAGTAGAAAGGACTGGACAGAGAATCTAACTGAAAAGAGGAAAAAGCAGTCGGAGAGGTTGCTAGAGACAGATTCAAACTCTCCACCACATAAAGATCTCCAACTCTACTACCAGTCCTAATCTGCTACTTGGACATCTGATCTTGCACAGTATAGATAGAAGAAGAAAAATATAACATCAAAACCAGAG